AGATGCATATGTGTACTAGGAAGGAGAAGCGACCAGGCAACCAAGCTCCTCTACCCATGCTGACGTGGTGCTGGAGAAATAGAAACGGTTTGGGGAAAATGCAAACTGAACTCAAGGCTTTCTGGAGGAAGGAAACTTAGCCCTGTGGGAACTGCACTGCAGGCCATCTCTCACACTCAGGCAGAGTGCAGGAGAGAGATAGGAGTGTAGCAGGGAGGTAAGAGTGTAGCAGGGAGATACTAATGAGGGAACTTCACTGTGAGCCATCCCTCACAATCCCCCTTGTCTTTTATCCTGTTCCCTCACCATTGTTGATAAACTTCTTCTATCATGTCTTCCTCCTTGCCTCCTTCACTTCCTTATTCTCTTTCTCCTCTGAATTCTTCCCCCTAACCATCACCCTTTTAAGGCAATATGGGAAGGATTGATCTATGCATTGACAAATCAAAGGGGCAGTCCCCTTTACAAATGCAGATACACAGACCCAAAAGAAAACAATAATGCAATTGTCCCTTTAAGATTCAAAAAGTCTTTTCCTAATACAGCTGTCTGGCAGGGAACATTGTCAATGAAGTCCTCTGGTCCTTGGTATTTGTTCCAGCCATCTCCAGCACAGGACTCAGCATCTTCTTCTTCTTGTCTTCTTGTAGGAACTCGCTTTCTGTCCATTCTCCTACAAAAGTGACCCTAGCACAATTTTAAGTTACCATTTCTCATCCTTATAACCTTGATCATTTTTACCAACTCAAAATTGGAACCATGGCCAGTAGTCATGTTTAAGAAATTCACATCAGAATCCAGTGTCTTCTACTTTACATTAATCCATTATTAATTTCCTCACCAGGAGGATGAGATTTCACTAAGCAATTAATAACAGGCACCAGTACATACATAAATATATTAAATAATCAATTTTGATACAGTACATATAAAATCTTAAAGTTTTAGTCATGCCGTGTTTCTTTGGTGGCGTTTACAAAATAAACCACAAGCACTCATTTTTTTGGACATTATTAATTGTAACAAAACTTTAGACAAATATGATAGTAACCAAATAACAAAAATAACATTCTCACAAGCCCCTGTCCTAATTGTCTCCATACTATTACCAAGAATTAAAAGACCTTAACTCATACAGAACACACACAGGAACACTAGTCCCAGCTCTATAGTAACCTAAGATGTTCCATAATCAATTATTTTAGTAAATTTGTTACTGTACTTACAAACCCTTCTGATTATAGAAACTTGCCACTAAGAGATTAGAGACTTAAAGCAAGGGAACAATATTTCCCCAACTTCCTGTCAACTCCAGGCAGAGTGTTATGTGAAACTGCAAACTGCATTGAGCCAGACTTAAAGTCTGCCAAGTTTCAGTTAACGAATCAAGTCAAGACAGTCTCACCTCAGCACATGCAGAACAGTTGCCCTCTCAACCTTCCCAAGAAAGCATACCTGCAGTTCATATTTGCCCCTCACACGGCTGCTGGCATCATGGATCAGTGGCTCAGACAGCTGGAGTTAGACTCAGAAATAGTTAGTCATTAGTCCCATTATGTCTTCGAATAGCAAGTTCCAATAATCAGTTTAAGATATGACTATAATCTCACATTACCTAAGGAACATCTCCAAAGAGAGCCCTAAATAACTTGCATTCATTTCTACCCTTGTTCATAAAACCCTACTAAGCTGGCGCAAAAGTCCTTAAGTAACACAAATTCCAGAGTATTATCAAGAAACTAAATTCCTAGTTATCACAGAATCCATAAATATCACAAAGTTCTTTAGTCAAAAGGTGTTGTAATAGAATCTCACATTGGGAACAGTCAGAGACTGATTACAGGAAAAATACTACTGCTCTTAGAATCCTTTTAAACAAAGGGAACATCTTAAGGTGAGTCTTAAACAGTTTGCATAAATTTCTGCACATGTTCAAGTTCTAGATAAAAATATTGTTAGATTTCCCAGTAAGATAACACAAAAGAGCTCATATCTTGTACTGACTACTGGCTCTCATCATAGAAACTTACTATAGAAGGCAAAAGAGCAGGGACATGTGACATACCAAATATGACAGGATAAAACATCCTTAGCTTTGTTTAAATTCAGATAGAGTTACAGTTCTCCAATCATGCAGTATCTGTTTCTCCTCATAGCCAGACTCAGGAATAGTCAGGTGGGAAACATTCCTTTCCAAAGGAACATAATGGGGAAACTGAGCCAGGAGGATCCCATCCTAGATTGAGGCTAAGATCGTCCCCTCGGCTTTACAGTACAGGATCACATTCCCTTTGAGTGGCATTTCTCTCAGATACTGATTTAATGCAGACAAGTATACCCAAATTCAAACTCAAAACAAAATTAGTTATAGTCCCAAGAGCCTTTTACCTCAAACAGCAAGTTTCACTAATCACCGCTTAAAGCCAGATACAGTTAATTTTACTCTCATGGAGTTGCAACAAGCAATAAAGATTTACCAGGACTCACATACATAAGAGATTTCACTTTACCTCTTTCCTTCTCAAATTCAAACTTGTCCTGGTGTAAAAGCCAATCATTAGAAATCATTTCTATACACTTGCAAATTCTTAGCATGCCAAGTTCATTGTTTAGGAACTGCAGAATCCTAACAAGTTCTTTTCTCAGGGCAGATGACCTTGCCCACACAGATGGTTTCTAGGGACCTTGGTAAGTTTACAAAATAAGGAGAATTGACATGGACCTCAGAGAGGGCTGATACTGGTGCCCTTGAATGGGCAGAACCAAGTTGATAAGGCTTTACACAGTCCCCTTCTTTTCACATACAGTAATTAATTAACCCTTTTAGGTTTTAGCATTAAAACAGTAACCCCAAATAACTTAGTTAACAATCTCACAAATTTCATAAATGATAGTAAAATGATTTTAACTGAAAATTCCCTTTAAATAAAGACAAAATTTGGAAATTTTATGATTTCTTAAATTACAATACTTCAAAATGTTATAGTACATTGTTAAAGAGAATGATTTAAAAGTTTCCTAACCCATTCATCATTTTTTTTTACAGTACAGTTCTTAACGTAACAACACTTAGATTATAAGAGAAATTGCTTTTCCGACAATACAGATGATACAGTTGTTTCCCAAATTTGCAATAAAGGAAAATTTTAGAAATACAACAATACCATAAACAACTATCATCTATTTAAACTTTAAAACCAAAACTAATTAATTACCACTCTGGTGGCTCTACAAGAATTGGATGTGTTCCCAAATTGCCTTAGACAGAGAATCGTTCATTTCATCACCATTGACATAAACTTCACACAGAAGAAAATCCACATAAAGTTAATGAATGTGAAGCAATTATATTTAACTAAAAACAGTTTACATTCAGATAGCATTTGTTTTATTGCCAAGCATTGTGCCAAGCACCTTTACAATCATGTGATCTTTGTAATATCCTTGGGAATGAATTCCACCACCATCCCTTACTGAACAGTAAACTAAAGTCAATAGAACTTTCTTGGGGCCATATAGTTAATAAATTTCTTAATGCCAAATAGCAATATGTACTTTTCAAATTATACAACTATACATTTCTCAGTTCAGTACCCTTGTCCCTTTATAAAGGAATATTATCCACAAATTCATATATTTCTTCAATATTTCAGTTCCGTATTCATGTCCACATTGTCTTGCAAAAGTTTTACAAACATTATGGAATCACCTGTTGTAATCAGTCAGTTTAAAATGTGCTGGGCCAGTGATCTAACTACTTCTTTTTGGCCCAGGAGAAAGAAAAGCAAGCTTAAAGAATTTGAATCGATGCTGACAAAGTACGATCAGCTTTCCCTCCAGGAAGACACCTCTGGAGCTTGATAATTAATTGAACAGTAATAATCATAACTCACAATAACCAATATCTTTACCATAGCCAGTATCCATATTAGATTTAATGGAACCCACCCAAAAGGTGGGTGGACATAATTCCTTCCATCTCTCCATAACTTTGTCTATTGGTTTTTAAATTAGTCTATCAGCCTTTCACTCTAAGCTGCCTGCTCAAGATTTTTGTTTACTACTTACTTTAGTGCCAAATAGTAAAATAAATTCTAACATATCTTAAGAATTGAATTAGGAGTGACACATTGCATTTTTCATACTTTTTTAAAAATACAACCAGAATGAATTCAATTTCTTTCTGGTTGGGTCCTATTACACAAAAACTTTTCTCTTTTAGGTAAGGCAGAGAACAGTTAAAGGCTTATTTAGCCTGCCTCCCTTTGATCTGAGGGGGAAAGATTCACCCTCCTTTCCTCCTTATCTTTCTCTCTTCTACATTCAACAACTTGGTCAAAGTTGGAATGTGGAGAGAGGAAGAGAATATTTTCCAACAACTCTTCAAGAGTTTCTAAACCTTTTACTTTCCAAACCTCTTTCATGCTGTACAAATAAATTATGCCTTCCTTAAACTTTCTACACATACTCTTCTCTCCTACATGCTTAAACTTTCTTACCTTTCCTTCTACCTTCTTATCCCTCTGAGGGACTTTGATTAAAATCCATTTAAAACTGCACATAGTCCAGCTGCAGCCTTGGGATGCTACCTGGCTGCAAAGGGCATCAAGTTACACAGGACACTCACTCACACCACACAGACACAAACACAGAAACAGATACAGACAGAAAATGACAGGGAGAATCCAAAAGCTCGGAGAGAATTGTTAGAAATCCTCTGCACAATTTAGGCATCGCCAGCCCAAACTAAGCAGCGATATTTCATCAGGTTTCTTTTCTCTTGTCTTTCCCTTTATATTTTGATGACTCGTTCCAATTCTGGAGTCTACTCCCAGGAGGGCTATCTTCTGGAATGCTAGGAAAATTCTCTCTGCTAGCTGTTTTGGACTGTTCTTTTCCCATGTTTAACAAGTTCTTGTCCTTCCCCAAGGACTCACTCGATGTGGAGGCACAGGTACCAAGACCTTCCCTGCCCCCTCCCTGGTCACCCAGATGCTCACCAGATCTTGCTCCAAAAAGTATCTCAGGGCTCCCTGGATCTTTCGTCTGGGTTATGTGCGCACAACTTATGTGATCGTCCAAAACTCAGTTCTCTCTCTTCTCTCTGTCTACTGTCTTTGCTAGCACCGTTGGAACTCTGTTTGCTTTTGTTTCTGCTTGCAGGTATCTGTCTTTCTTCGGGTCCATTCCTTAAAAGGGAAAGGAAACTCCCAAACCACTCCACAGACTACTGGTAAGTGGCCAGTGGGGGCCTGTCCTAGGACTGGCTGGGAGGCCCTTTCCCAAGTAAAGGGGATCCCAGAGAGCCCCCAACTGTGTGGGACAGAGACCACCCACTCAAAATAAAAACAAAGACTTGAAAGATACCTTGAAAGCAGAAAGGAGTTTATTGCTTTCTCATGAGAAAGGGTACCGCCACTAGTCACCATTGCCAGCCAGGAGAGTATGAGTTGGGAGCTGTACCCTGGGCTTTTTATCCCCTAACGCGATGCCCCCTCTCACTCTCTTACCCCTTTCTCCTTTGACTGGGTACTCAGGGTGTACATTCTAAAAGTAGCAACTAATACCCAATAGAAGCAAATATGCCCGTGTTTGGACTAGATGCACATGTGCACTAGGAGCTAGGAGCAACCAGGCAACCAAGCTCCCCCACCCATGCTGACCTGGTGCTGGAGAAATAGAAACTTTTGGGGAAAATGCAAACTGAACTCAAGGCTTTCAGGAGGAAGGAAACTTAGGCCTGTGGGAACTGCACTGCAGGCCATCTCTCACACTCAGGTAGAGTGCAGGAGAGAGCTAGGAGTGTAGCAGGGAGATACTAATGAGGGAACTTCACTGTGAGCCATCCCTCACATCCTCAGGGGACTTCACTTCTCTCCATGTGTTATGGACCTCTCTGCTTAGACTCTGGGAAACCTGGTTACCCAGAGGGTTGCCGGTCTGGGCTTGCGACACCTTACGGGCATCCCGCTGGGTTCCAAGCCTTCCCAGACCTGGGTCTGTGCCCACAGACTTACATGACTGAAAATTTCCTTCACTTCACATGGGTGGCCATGGTGGTCTTCTAGTTACCAGTGCTGCAGAACTTTCATTTTGCTATTCTGAGATTTCCCTTCGGGCTTTTCCCTCCTCAGCTGAGACCTGGAGGCCACCAGTAAAGTCTGGCATCGCCTGCCCCTGAATTAAGGGAGTCCCCAAAAAGGGGGTGAAATCCCGGAGGATTTCCCACAACTATGTGGGACGTGAAGACCCTTACCAATAAATTCTGGAGACTCAGATGTAGCAAAGAGAAAGATTTCTTTATTAGCTTTCTCAAGAAAGGGCACCCTCCCTCTGCCTAAAATGGCTCTGGTGGAAGAGTGCAAGAGTGTGCTTAGCAAGAAAGATTATAGAGACCCCTAACCCCACTCCCCCTTCCTCTCAGCCCACTGATGCAAGCCTTGACACAATCTATTTGAGGAAATCTACCCAGCAACAGAGAACAGAAACCAGTTTCACAGACTTGCCTGGAGACAAGGAAAGGCTGGAAGTTTCCCAAGAGCAAGCAGTTCAGGTTGGGGGAAGGGCAGTTATTTTTGTTTGCTCAGAAACAGGGTCTGAGCGGGGGAGGGTTTTGAAAGCAATATAGGGACTTATTAACAAGAACTATTGACCCTCCGAGGAGGCTTCACTTCTGAGAGGTCATGTCACATCCCAATTTGTTTCAAGCTGTAATGTGTGTGTATTCATATCTTTTTGTTGTATTCAGCATGTGGAGCTGAGTACATTAAAAAACATATATATATAGATATAGATATAGACATAGATATGTATGTATGTAGTGTGTATACAAATATATGTATGTATACTTTTTTTAAAGATGTTACTGAGAATAATGAATATCGTGTGCAAAAAGTCATCAGTAGTCTCAGTGAATCACCCACTCTTACCCTTCACTCACTATACAGTGCTAGAATCATCTCTGTTGCATTCATCTTGCAAATTCCTTAGGCTAAGGACAGTATTACATTAATAGTCATTAGGATAATATAGCATTCTTCTAGGATATAGTAGGGATGTGTTAGAACCTATGGGCTTGAGCTAGGCTTTGATTGAAGGTTGGAGAGGAGATGATTTGGACAGGGTAGGACAAAGTGGTATGTGGCAATGAGGGTTGGGGGCATTTGGGGGCACTGGCCACCTCACCCCCACCCCCAGGAGAATGCTGAAAAGGAAAATGGAGGACACTAAAAATGTAGATTGCTGAATTACAGCACCAAATTTCCTAGGGATACCTGGCCTGTTAAATCCATTCTTTTGCCCTCTTCAGGGTCAGTCCCAGTAAAGACAAACAAAGTTAAATATTTCACCATTTTACCTCAATCAAGTATAACCATGTTGAATAACACTCAGAGCAAAGAATCTTTCTTGGAATGATCCCAAAGAGACCAGCACACACTGAGTTATAATGGAAAGCCCAGTTGGAACAATCCTATACTGAATTACATGTGGGTGCTGACACATGGATACATTTTAAACAGGGATGAGCCCATGCTAAGTTGTGAAGGATATAAAGCTTGTCTTCAAGAACTCTCACGTTTTTGACGTTTCCCCTCACCTACATTTTTTGTCACCTTCCTTCCTCTTGAAGGGGATGCCTCATGGCTCTCTACCACCTAAGGGATTGTCATTAAGCTTCTCACTCAAGTGTGCCCTCCTAGACACAATCCCTGTTTATGTATTATGCAATCCCCAGATTGAATTATACATTTGTCCCTTCTCATCCAGGAAATTTTGCAAGACTGGCAGATTTTGTTCTTAGGAACTGATCACTTTGAACAAAGATATAAATGACTGATGTCACTTCTTTCAGATATCACTTGTTTTAGCTGTACAGGCCTATCCTCACTTAAAAGGCACCTTTTGTTCTGGCCAGAAATTCTGAAGGTCTTCCACCTTCATATGCATTCTTTTGTGAAGCACAGTAGGCCATCTTTTGCCTCATTGCTTACCAAACTTAATCACTGAATGGGTGGTGCCTCAGAGAAACTGAAACTTGGGAAGGATCTTAGCTTAGAAAGGTCAAGGTCTTTTACTCCATCTGGTGCTGCCTCCAGTGGTCCTGACCTATGTGTTGCTCAGAACTCTGATGACTGTGGTGCAGAGGGTTGGGCTGATGACTTTGCACAGCTCTGTCTTCCTTAAATCCAATTCACTTGCACATCAAAATATCACCCCCCAAATCAGCGGTCCTCTTCTAGAATGAAGGATGAACAAAAATCAATGCCTATAACCAAATTGTATAGGTTAATGTAATAATTCATACATATATATGTATATATATATATATATGAAATTCATGTGTTATTTATATATTCTAATATATGCACCACTAGGTGGCTATATATACATATGTACATATATAAGTACATAGGTAAATATATATATATATACACATATATATGTTCATAGGTACATATATATATATATACACACACATACATATATACACACTTATGTATGTATAAATACAAGGTACTGCAACAGTTACAATCTAAACACTGTATTTTTGTCATCTTTTTAGAAGATGCTTTTTAGAAGCAAAACCCACCTTCTTGGCTCCAAGCAGGCCAGGTTGCACAGTTCCATTGAGGGAGCTCCTAGGAGAACTTGCTAAATAGCAAGAAAGAGATTGCAGTGGAACCTTTCTGAGGAAATTTTGTGGACTCTACATGGACCTTGTGGCCTCCTTCCCATTGACATATATATTGTCTCCATGCAGAACCAGCTGTATCATCCAGAGCATCCTTCCTGTTATGTCTGGAATGGAAGATGAATTTTCAAACCAACCAGACACAAGAAAGTCTGTTACTAACCAAAGAAAAGGGCTATGTCAGATACTAATTGGAAAAATTAGGCCTTTCTTTTCACATTCATCTAGGCATAACAGTGCAGTGGTGGATCAGGTACTCTGAATTTTTTTCCATCTACTTTTCACACTCTTATAATGTATGCCACCGTGCAAACTTGCTTGGGGTTTTAGCATATGCTGTCAATGAAAAAGAAAAAAAAATTCTTTCGGATGTCTATCTCCCCATAATTAATGCGGCTATAGTCAGTTAATACTGATTCATTAAAGTCATGAATATATTTCATGACTCATATTCCAAACAGAATGGTCTAGAACTCATTAACAAAATGTCCCTTTGACAAGAAGCAAGGAAAAAGGGAGAAAAATGCTGAAAATGTTAACTCTACTCCTCACCCTCTTAAGAGAAAGGTCAGTGACCATTGTACTCTATGGTTACTAGTAAATCAGAGAAACTGTACGTACATGTTCATTTATAAAAAAATATAAGTCAATGTAAATTGTTCTAATTCTTTTATATAATCTAGGATTGTACTAGAAGAAGGATCATCCAGTATTAGTCCAAGCCACCAGGAAGAGATAACACACAGCTTTTATTCCCTATGCCTTGAAAAAGGATTAGATTAAGATTCAAGAAGATTGAGGTTTAAATCCTGGCACTGTTAAGAACTTCCTGTGTGACTTTGAATGTTTGCTTGAAAAACAGATAATTTAGGAGAGATATTTTTAGCTAATTTAAATATTTAAAGGATTGTCATCAGAAACTGGTGTCCTACTTAATGCCAAAGGGAAGAATTAGGAAGCCACAAGGTGACATATTCTGATCTAGTACAAAGAGAAACTTCATGACAATTAGAACTTTCAAAAGAAGAATGGGCTACCTTTGAGGTAGTGAGCTCCCTGTCACTAGAAATCTTCAGGCAAAGTGTAGATGATCCCTTGACAACATTATTGTTGAAGGCATTCATGCGTGAGATAGGAATTTGATTTAATCCTCTCTTAGCTCCTCAATAATTCAAAGTTTTTGAATGATTCTTCATTTGGAGGCGTCATAATACAGAGGAAAGTATACTACTCAGTCTTAGTCTTAGGAGACCCAGTTTAGAATCCCAGTTCTGCTACTGTGTGACTTTTTCTTTGTCCACAAAATGGTGATCTCTAAATTCCCAAAAGTTCCACTTTTCAGCGTCATTTGTTCAGTGTTATACATGAAACATTTTTCTCTTTTCTCTTTCCTTCTCTCTGTCTCTTTCTTCCCTTCTTTCTCTCCCTCTCTTCTCTCTGCTCTTATTGATATAAAAACCAGCTATTAACAGAGGGAAGGCACTAGAATTAAGAACTTACAGGAATGCCTTATTGAAGGTGGGATTTTAGGTAGAACTTTAAGGAAGCCAGGAAAACAAGAAATGGCTATGAAGAGGGAGAGGATTCACTGGTACAACCAGCGAAAATGCGTAGAATTGAGAGGTAGAGTTTCTGCTTTGAGGAACAATAAAGAGGCCAACGTCTTAGGAACTCAGAGTACAGGGAGAGCCTTCCACATTTCCTTCCTTCCTTCCTTCCTTCCTTCCTTCCTTCCTTCCTTCCTTCCTTCCTTCCTTCCTCCTTCCTTCCTTCCTCCTCCTTCCTTCCTTCCTTCCTTCCTCCTTTCTTCTTCCTTCCTTTTTTCCTCCCTTCCTTCTATTCCTTCTCTCTCTCTCTCTCCCTCTTTCTCTCTCTCTTACTCTCTGTCTCTCTCTCTCTCTCTCTCTCTCTCTCCCTCTCTCTCTCTCTCTCTCTCTCTGAAATAAATTTTCATGGTCCTTGTACCCCAGTAGGTCTGTCTAGATAGGCACACTCACTTTCCTGTCAACTTAAGATAACCAGCATTTATTAAATGCCAGGTATGTGTCAGTCACTGTGCTAAGCATGGGGGATTCAAAGAAAGGGAAAAGACAGTCCTCTGCCCTCAAGGAGCTCCCAGTTCTAATGGAGGAGGAAACAAGCAAACAACTATGTATACACAAGAATAACGTTTCATCTCGTTTCTCAAAAAGGAGGTAAAGACCCTTTGCTGACAGTCATGGTAGCACTGTTTATTGGGGACCATTAATATGTCTAAGGACT